TATGGTACGGAGGCAAACGGAGGATAGTGTGTTGAATGTTGTTCTTCAACGTCCTCTCATCCACTATTTTGTTTAATACGTATTTTGCAGGTTTTTTGTGCTGCTTACAAATGTATAGTAACTGGTTTTTCGATGATATGGGATCAAACTGAATTTTCGGCATTCAACCATACTTTTAATTCTATCTTTGTCAAGCTAAAAAAAAGCTGTTTTCCTTCTGGAAAAAAAGTTGATACAAACGGTAAGTTGATAATTTTTTAATTTAAATCATATATGATGTGACATTATTTTTGGGATAACGTCCCATTGACGTCTTGAAGAATAATTTATTTAACATTAAAGGCTGATCATAGCCCAGTTAGTTTGGTCTAGCTGTACTCATGATCTGTTCTTTGTCTCATGTTTATTACTAAGTCATCGTAACTAAATAAATTTCTCCAAAGATTGAAATTGCCTAGAGAACCAAGAAATTTTTTAATTTTTTCAGGTAATAAATCTACAAAAGCTGGATCTTCCCGAACCGGTGGGAGTTGAAATAAATCTCTAAAAACGAGAATATGTATTTTACCAAACCAACCGTCGACTTGATCTACAGTATTAAAAATTTCCATCAAACGCAAGTGAATATAAAGTAAAACAATATTAGATACCATTGATATTTCATCAATAATAATCAAAATGACATCAAATGCGTTATCAGATAACTGATAGTACTAACAGGCATGACCATGTTCAACTAGTAATTGAAATGCTTTATATATTGTGATACCATCAACATTAAATGCTGCAAATTCCTGTGGGAGCAGTAACAACGACATTCTTTTGTATTTCGTTTTTAATCCAACACTTAATTACATCAATTAAAAAACTTTTGCCTGTACCACCAGCACCGCTTACGTATAAACGTAGAATTTCATTTACGGTTTGGATAGAATGTTTAACTTCTTAAACACTCGGAATTGATCTTCGTTTAAGGCAGAAATCATATTCAATAAATCAGTATCTGTTACATTTCGTTCATTATCTTTTAAATTAAGGGAAATTTCGTCTGTTGAATTTAACTGATTTGTAATTTTATCAGTTTTATCAATAATTTTTTTATTTGGTTGCTGACTAGACCCTTCAGCATTTTGCAAATGTTTTTTGATGGTTTCTTTGATAGAATCTATTCCTTTACGTAATTCAGTACATTTTTCATGATATTTTTCAGCGTCTTCGAGTTCATCAATATTGGCAGCAAAAGCGTCAGTATAAGTTTTGAAGTTATCTTTTAGTTCATCAATATCTCTCCACGGTTTATAAAGTAAAAGTAATGCATAATAATATTTATTAGGTTCAGTCTCCACATTAAATTTAAAATGATTAATTAAATAGCCTCTTGTTCGTTTTTTTTAAAAAACGAATTGCCAATTCCGTAAATTTCACCATTCTTCTCTTTGACAGTTTCTACTTTTACGACATCGTACCATGTAGCAAAATTAAATAATGATAAATTATCTAGTTCTTTAGGTCGATTCGGATAATAATCATCAATTAGAGATGCACAAAATATATCTTATGAATCCGGATCTAATTCTTTAATAGGATTAAATTTTTTTACAATTCTATTTCTTATCATTGATACATTCAACCATTTGATAGTAGTGTTTGGATCATTACCATACAAAGGAAGGCCCAAAAGCGTATCAGCAGCTTCAAGACTACCAATTTCCCGGTGGTTGAAAGTATGAAAAGCAATATTCCATAATTTTTGATTTAAGGTTTTTGTAGAATTAATATCATTTAATATTTTAAGTAAATTAGCGGATTCTGATTGGCATGAGTATTTAGTACAATATTGAGTTAATATAGTGGAAGATTCCCCAATGAATTGTATATCCATGTTTCCTTCCCATGCACACAAAACAACAGGATTATAATCATTGATATATATTTCACTTGGTTTACGCATAAGATCATAGAGACGACTTTTTGTTTTCAAATTTTTTCTACCTGCAATGGACTCAGCAGTATCACGCAAAACAAAATGTTCACTAACAGGTCGAGGAAATCCTACATACTGATTTTACATGACCATATTTTTGTTTTTTATTTCGTAAACAGTAACTGTTATGGTTATGTTTTTGGTACGAATTTACTTTTCTGTAAAGATCGGGTGAAATATTTTTTTCTGGTATGCTACAAGTTACATACTTCAGTATAAAATTAATTACTTCGTCATTTGTATTTTTTCCCAATATAGGAGCATCTTTTACCCAAAATATGCAATGAAAATGTTGTATTCCTCTACCTTGATATTCACGTCGCCAAAAGTAATGTCCTATTTCACCAATAGGATTATCTTGTAATAAGAGAAATTGAAGCATTGCTTGAAATTTATTTTCAATGAATCGAGATACAGAAACTGGATCTGATGCCATAACCTCATTTTTTGATTATTTATCGAAATGTGGACTAATTATATCACGAACATATTGAATCAGATCATCCCAATTATATTCCCCCGGCGATAAAGTAACAAACCAAGTTGCTGGTCCATAATAGAATGTCATACATCGTAAATTATTTCTTGGACGACTCCGAAATTACGGAGTATTTCGTAAACGCTCAAAGATTGTCGTTAATTTTCCTTCTAAATTACCGTTCTCTAAATTTTGTAAATATTCATTGACAGTGTAACGTTTTTTTTTGATTTACTGTATGAATGTAAATGATATAAACCACTATTGATCTGACGTATGTAAGTTTTATTAAGTAAATAAAAAATATATTGCACATTCAGACGAAATCGTGCGTCAACAGACATTAAGCGTACTTTCGCATATTCAGCGTCAGTAAGACGAATGCTCGATCGGTTTCATGCTCTCCGTTCTTCCCTAAAGGATGAAGATCGGGAAAACATAACAAATCTAATGTAATAAGTCTATTATCTAGAGGGTCTTCACGAATTTTTTTCATCTGATAAAATGTTGTTGAATCTTGATTTATTCCCTCATTATACATAGGATATATTGAATACAACTCTTCTTGAATTTCCGTGAGATCTGTTACTTGAGTTAAAAAAGGAGACTTTACAATCTCTTCATCTTCTTGTATGTCACTATTTTCCGAAGATTTTGAATGAGTAGATAGTATTTCCAGTATTTCATTATCTGCATTTATTTGGGAACTTGACTTTTCTACCTGATATTCCACAGATGATAAATAATCAAATAGGTGTTCAGAATGTATTGGTAGTTTTATCTTTGAATATAGAGGATTATGATTTTTTAGCCAATTTAAAGGTCTCTTCTAATGGTAAAGGTAGATGTAATGTTGTACCTTTTAATTTTTGTATTTTCATTCAATTTGGTAATGATTTTTTAGATACTGTTCCCATTCTTTGCACAACTTGAAATGCTTTAGCTCTTTGGATTAAGAGTTGTTCGTGGACATTGAGATCAATCATTTCATTGGGAATACTTCCTACTTCCAAATGATTCATAATACAAGTAGGTGGACATTTATTACTACGAATTTTATTGAGACAAAATTTACACATTAAAGCAGTGTTTACTGTTGATTTAATATCGTTCAAATATTTCAAAAGATCTTTATATAATACATTATCAAAAATTGGCTTATTTAATTTATTAAAATTCTGAGTATCTCGTTTATAACATCATTTTTGACAACACATACATACAATACGAGGTGTATCCATCGATCTTTTCATAAAAGCAATAAGAGCATTTTTGTAATTATTGCTGATATGAGTTTCATCTAAACAAATAATTTCTTTCTTTTGAACATGAATATTTCCTTTTTCATCATATTTTCATAAACATTTGTCAAAATCACATAATCAGCATTTTCAAGAGCTTGATCTAATTCAACTAAATTTTGTAGTATTAGTTTCATTCGATAAATCAATGACTTTATAGCTCTTACTGCTGGATAATGAGGTGATAATATCCAAACACTAACAAATAAACAATCACAAGGTTTACTCAATGTGTAACAACTTTTCAAATGCCCAAGTTTGCCGAAAGAATGTTTTAAAAAAAGCTGTTCCAGAATTTCGCGAACATTACCAAAAGTAAGGGTTTTTATTTCTTTAAGAAAAGTTACATACTTATGTACGGCATCAATAATAAATTCTTTACGTGTTTTAATGCATTCGTCGTAGTTTTCTGTTGTACTACTTTGGAATTGTTCATTATCTGTGGTAATATAGTACATTTTACAATTATGGTCAGATTTCTATCGAATTTTGTGATCACTACATTTTCCAATTTTTAAAATATTCGAAGCCAGACGTTGATGATTAACAACAATTGGTTCGTTGTTAACAAACGCCGTATGCTGTATTACGAAAGTAAGCCTCAGTTGTACGAGTGTAAAGTGATTTTCTACATAAATTTCTTAATTGTACGCTGATTCCTTTGGAAGCGCGGTAAATTGTATAATAAGAGTTAGACTTCTCTCGAAGCTGATTAATACAATTTTTTGCCTGATTAACATAAATGTTTCGTTAAGCAAAACACCAATTGATAATTCGTTCGGATTGTAGTCGATGTTCAACAGAATCACCTAACGAAGAAGTATCATCATCCAAAACTTTTTGTAATTTTCATATATAGATTTCTTTATTGAGCGTAGTTTTAATTGCTTTCGATTGATTAGTATTTTTGTTGATTAATGCGCTAGTAATGTTATTAGTCTTATCAATAGCCGATGGTGTTTGAAAAACCGGTGATAATCTACTTACATTACAGCTTTCAGAATTTATTGAACAAACTGTGTCATTTAAGCTTTTTAATTTATTATTAATTAATTGTTTATTTATTAGTTAATTGTGTATTGACGGTATCGTCATACTTGCAACGTTTTATCTGTTTTCGTGTTTCCTCGTTTTTATCATTATCTAGTTTATCAATAGTTACCGATGGTAATGTATAATCATCATTTAATGTATTTACAGTATCATTATTAATTAATTTCGTATTAACACTATCATCATACTCATAGCTTTTTACCTGTTTTTGAGATACTTTATTTTTATTCTGATCATTTTTATTAGATTTTAATGATAGTTTATCATATTTCTCAATCACTAAAGACTTTATGCTATTATTTACATGAATATCACTACAAAGTTTTCTGTTATTGTGAAAATTTTTATTCGTACAATCATTTGAAATACTAACATGAGAAAACTTTCTTTTTTTTTATTTACTTCTTCCATTTTATTATTAGTAAGTGTGATCTTTTTCGAATCTGCGAATATTTCAGAATTTTTATTAACCCTTTCAGTTTTTATCTGTGATACATTACCATTATTTTTAGATTTCAATCTGTTCAATCGCATACTAAGTGCTTTTTCTTAAAAATAATGCAAAAGGTCATGAGTCGAAAAAATCTGCTGTTTTAACGTGGGACCAGGCAATCAGCTTCATAAATAATGCCCCAGACTACACACATTTAGCCCATAAAGTATGTACTTATAAATATTTATTTAAATTGTATTGATTATTTAATTAATTTACTTTATTGTTATCTTTATTTTTATATTTTAAGGTTGTCTTAATTTTCGGCATTTGTGGAGCTACGAGATGCGAGGAATTGAAAGAGCTTGGAGTTTCTGACGTCGAAGATATGATTGGAAATTACCTTGTTTCCATAAATGATTCCAAAAATGGTCTTCCTCGTAAATTTTTAGTCGGACCACCTTTTTATGAACAAGTAAAAAGTTATATTTCATTGAGGCCTGAAGATTTTGATTCAGGGAGATTTTTTGTGCAATTCTTAAAAGGCAAATGTACTCGACAACCGATAGGGAAAAATAAAATAGGTCAAATTCCGAGAATTATCGCTGAGTTCCTGAAATTGGCTAATCCAGAACGTTACACTCGACAATGCTTACGCAGGACATCAGCGACATTGCTATCAAATTCTGGTGCTAGTATTACAATGTTGAAACAATTGGGAGGATGGAAATCGGCAAATATCGCAGAAGGTGATTCTTCTATTGATTAAAAAAAACTGTAATTGTTAATTATTTGTGAATAATTCAAATAATATGTTTGTATCTATATATTACAGGTTATATTGAAAACTCCTTGCTTAATAGACAAAAAATCTTTAATAAGATTACTCATGCAGATCAAGTTGTTCCTCCGTCAGATAAAAATCTTCAACAATTTACAAGTAAAACTAATCCAGCTAATTCTGAAACTTTTATTCAAAATGATCAATCTGTATCAACAGAAACTAATGATGAAGATTGTCTTGAAGAAATTGTTTTGGATGCCACTTTGACGGCAATTGATAACTCGTTTATATCAGAAAAACCCAGTATCATCACCACCTTCTTTCACTACAGCCAATAATGAGGAAATGATAATAAATTCTGACCCTAGAACAGATCGACCTTGCCACTTTTTGAAAAAACCACCAATCTCGGTTTTTGAGATACTTTATTTTTATTCTGATCATTTTTATTAGATTTTAATGATAGTTTATCATGTTTCTCAATCACTAAAGACTTTATGCTATTATTTACATGAACATCACTACAAAGTTTTTTGTTATTGTGAAAATTTTTATTCGAACTATCATTTGAAATACTAACATGAGAAAACTTTTTTTTTTTATTTACTTCTTCCATTTTATTATTAGTAAGTGTGATCTTTTTCGAATCTGCGAATATTTCAGAATTTTTATTAATGCTTTCAGTTTTTATCTGTGATACATTACCATTATTTTTAGATTTCAATCTGTTCAATCGCATACTAAGTGCTTTTTTTTCATTGTTATTTAGTACATCTAAAGTTGATAATTGTAATTTCGTATGCTTGTCACTAATTAATGGAAGGGTTTGTGATTTAAAAATTTCTAGTAAATGTTTTCTTATTAATGGATAATCATAGATTAAATTTTCTGGTTTCTCATTAAATGCAAGCGAAGTTGCAAAAGCAATTGCAAATACTCCGCAATCAAGTCCGTTAGGCTGTTGCTGCACTTTTAGGAAATGTATGGGTTTTTTATTCTCAAAATAATCATGATACAAACGTTCTAAGTAAATTTTTTGGCTTGAATTTAATGTTTTATTATTAGTTGAATCATATATATACAGATTTTTTGCGTCGTAAATTGTACATATCTAATGTTTATCTTTACTATGTAATATTTGGATATTTTTTTTCCATGAATCAATCTTTTCAGGTCTTTGAACTAATACGGTGTCTTGATGAAAAAAAGTAGTATGAGTATTTATCGAATTGCCAAAAAAAGTCATGTGAAGGTCTGTTAGTTTCAAACTTTCTCTTAGAATCCTTATAATATCATGATCTGCCGTAGCGAAATTCATTTAAGATCTATGAGGATTATGACATAGGAACTCTGAAATTGTTTGTAAATTTTGTGGTGATTTTCCATAAGCTAAACTGGTAGCAAATGCAATGGCAAAAACACTACAATCATACTTATTTCTTTGCTGTTGAACATTTGGAAAAATGATTGGTTTATTTTTATATGGAAAATTTGGATATAATTGATTTAATACAAACTGGAAATGACTATCTATATTTCTTATATTTTCTGAATCAAAAATGTAAATTGAGTTTGTGTCATAGTAACTACAAACCCAGTGCCCTCCAAGCATAGTATTCTCTGATAAATGACCCACAGGAAGGCTTGTTTTATGTAATATTTTAATATGTTTTTTATCGTTTGGTATTGTATTGCCCTTACCATATGTTTGCAAATCTATACAACTCCGGAACTCATATCCGAACTATTGATGCAATAATCGAGCGAAATAATCAATATGGTCATCTTCCAACCATTCGTTATTAACAATTATTTTCTGCAATTGATCTTCTAACATCTTGATTGTACTTTTTTGTAATAATAAATTCAATTTTTTTTTTTAGAAGACTAAAATTGCTAATTATGTATCAATCAAGATTCTGTCGCACAGCAGACTAGAATCCCAAAAGACATTCACTGAATTACAGTTGCTTAGAGAAGAGAAACTTATGATATTAATAATTTATAACCTAATTAAGAAATCAAACGTATTAATTATATCTAAATAATATCTGGTAAATAGTGGAATATGATCTGTCAAAGATATAAACTTTTACAAACATAACCACTATCACAATAATAGAAATATTATCACTTTCAATAACTACTAAATAACTAAATAGTATAATATATTCAATAAAAATTAAAAACTAAGTTTAATTATTAAACTAATATAGAAAATTTATAAAAAGCAGATATTTATTCTCACAAAATATCTTAATCGTTGTACGTTTCACATATGTCATGTATGACAGCTGTTTATGTACACCAAAAAAAATGTGAAGGCGGACTTGCAATAAATGACAGGATTTACCAATTGTAGTTCTGAAAACATATAATAGGTATCATACACTGTAATTGCTGGCAAGGCTGCACCTCTGGTAGTAAGCAGTAGAAACTCGTGCAATATAGCCTCAGTTTCATAAATTAAGTGAATAAACGATAGACCAATTTTAATACTATCCACAAGTGTCTTAAAACCGAAAAGTGTTTTGTATTTTTGTAATTTTTCGAAAAATTTATTGTTGTGTCTATCATCATAGTTACTAAGTTTATTATTTGCTGACAAGTTTAAAGTTTAAAATCGTTAGAAATACAGTATAAATTACACTTGAGTTTACATTAAAGAGCAACATTAAAGGTTACAATATCATTTTTGGGGTAAACATAAATTAAAGATATCTTGAATTTCATAAAGCTGAATGCAATAGACGAAAGTCGCAGAAAACAGTAGTAAATAAATAAAATAGAAACTTATTACTACACAAGTTGAACGTTCAAGTGATTAATGCCACAAAAGTTTTTAGTAAAACAGTTTTTAATTGGTGTTACTACCTCAAACATCAATATGGAGAAGAATGTAAATCAATTTATTGTATTGATAAAATTTATTGAACGGCTTAAGATACTGCGAATCCATTTTGAAAATTTTAATCATATTGGTTGTATGATCCTAACTTTGACATAATCAAAAAGTACTCTTCGGCGTGTAATCGCATGATAGAATCACATGAATGACGTGTGGAATATAATACCAGAAGATATATAAATAATTATGATCATGACAAATATATAAAATTTGATTAATACATTCGAGCCTGTTAGAAGCATTGAGAGAACAGAAATTAATCTAACTAAGTAAAATATTTTCAAATACCTCGTAAAGCTTACTTTGATAAGTTTGGTAATGGTAATGTCTGACTTAAGTCAGATATATTTGTGTGAACGGTTTTAAAGAAAAGTTGTTTCTAAAGAAAATTAATGCCCACTTTGTAAATAATAAATTGACCTAACGTTAGTACTCGAAGTACTTCCTGGACATTGTTGAGGGAATAAAATTGTTTGAATCGACTAAATTCAATTGATTTAATTTATTTTTTTTTCCATAAGATAGATTAAGTCTTTTGAATAGACGATTTGATAAAAATAGTAAAAAAACTATTATAATAAACACTGCTACATTCTATATTTCATTAGCTGAAACAATATTATCCTTATTAATAAATGATATTGTAAAATATTTGTATGTCGCCATCTAATGACTATAAGACTAACGACAGTTTGTTAGTTAGCAACGATTGCTTGATGATTAGATTGTTTATAGCAACGAGGGGAGAGTTTGTTTATCTCCAGTTTTTGTCTGAGACTTGAGTTGACCGCACGGATTCTTTCCTTTTATTAATTGCTGTCAATCATTAATATACATTTTAATTAATTTACTAATTTTCCGAAGTTGTTATTGAGTCTTATTTTACAATAAAATTATTTATCAGATTCTTCTGTTGGAAAACTTTTGTAAAGTATCATTAGAGCACGAAGAGCGGTATCTCGTACAATAACTATAGGGTCTTCAAATGTATTTATTAATGAATTAATATCATTGAAATTAGTCAATGGCGTTCATAGTATACAACTACTAGAATAAACAACAACAAAAATGTAGTGACAGCATGAAATTGAACCCCACTATTAGTTAGACTCATTAGTTTAATCATAATATCCAAAATTTGTTTTCTAGGTAATAATCTCGGATGTCTTATATCATTTCAAATATTTTCTTTACACCTCATTTAGCATTTTACTAAATAATATGTAGACCTTGAGTCATTATACCTTAATCATTGCTAATTAAGTAATGTTTTTGCAATAAATAGAAATATATAACAAAATTCAGGTGCATTCATCGAACATTTTTGTTCAACTGTTAAATTATGTGACAGAATGAGTGTTTTTTAAAGATAACTCTTCTTCTTTATGAGCACGATAATATTTGAGCTATTACAGATGAAAACTTTCCACGTGCTAGGATGTTAATTATTGAATTGCAGAAGTCATATTATAGAATAATCGACTCAACTGTTATTTAATTCGATGTTTTTCGGAAATTTGAGGTTAGGAATCTCCTTCTGTTTAGGAGTTTACTTTTGTTCCTTCACACTTATTTTATGGATGTCTCCATAGAATTCTGAACTAAGTTGATTTTCTATACATTGCTCTTTGAATTAGTAAGCTTTACTCTCTCACTTTTTAGACATAGAATTGAAAATGTCATTTTCATCATAGTTAGGAATAACAATTTTATCATATTCACTTTCAGGTGTTTAATAAAAAAAATATTTATCTTCTGTAACTTTAAATATTCTTGGATCATTTAAATTATTAATAACATTTTTTATTGATGAAGGAAGTAATACTGCCGGTAAAGAGTTGATGATTGTAGCAAATTTGTTACAATCATTTGCCTTAAGGCATTTTTATATGAAGGTATAACCTTATAATTATCAAGGAAAATTATTTTTAATTTATTTTTATGAACTTCAATGAATACATGAGGCTGCTGTTTCATATTTCTACCGGTTTTAATCCACAAATATTTGTCATGATCATAATTATTTATATATCTTCTGGTATTATATTCCACACGTCATTCATGTGATTCTATCATGCGATTACACGCCGAAGAGTACTTTTTGATTATGTCAAAGTTAGGATCATACAACCAATATGATTAAAATTTTCAAAATGGATTCGCAGTATCATAAGCCGTTCAATAAATTTTATCAATACAATAAATTGATTTACATTCTTCTCCATATTGATGTTTGAGGTAGTAACACCAATTAAAAACTGTTTTACTAAAAACTTTTGTGGCATTAATCACTTGAACGTTCAACTTGTGTAGTAATAAGTTTCTATTTTATTTATTTACGACTGTTTTCTGCGACTTTCGTCTATTGCATTCAGCTTTATGAAATTCAAGATATCTTTAATTTATGTTTACCCCAAAAATGATATTGTAACCTTTAATGTTGCTCTTTAATGTAAACTCAAGTGTAATTTATACTGTATTTCTAACGATTTTAAACTTTAAACTTGTCAGCAAATAATAAACTTAGTAACTATGATGATAGACACAACAATAAATTTTTCGAAAAATTACAAAAATACAAAACACTTTTCGGTTTTAAGACACTTGTGGATAGTATTAAAATTGGTCTATCGTTTATTCACTTAATTTATGAAACTGAGGCTATATTGCACGAGTTTCTACTGCTTACTACCAGAGGTGCAGCGTTGCCAGCAATTACAGTGTATGATACCTATTATATGTTTTCAGAACTACAATTGGTAAATCCTGTCATTTATTGCAAGTCCGCCTTTACATTTTTTTTGGTGTACATAAACAGCTGTCATACATGACATATGTGAAACGTACAACGATTAAGATATTTTGTGAGAATAAATATCTGCTTTTTATAAATTTTCTATATTAGTTTAATAATTAAACTTAGTTTTTAATTTTTATTGAATATATTATACTATTTAGTTATTTAGTAGTTATTGAAAGTGATAATATTTCTATTATTGTGATAGTGGTTATGTTTGTAAAAGTTTATATCTTTGACAGATCATATTCCACTATTTACCAGATATTATTTAGATATAATTAATACGTTTGATTTCTTAATTAGGTTATAAATTATTAATATCATAAGTTTCTCTTCTCTAAGCAACTGTAATTCAGTGAATGTCTTTTGGGATTCTAGTCTGCTGTGCGACAGAATCTTGATTGATACATAATTAGCAATTTTAGTCTTCTAAAAAAAAAAATTGAATTTATTATTACAAAAAAGTACAATCAAGATGTTAGAAGATCAATTGCAGAAAATAATTGTTAATAACGAATGGTTGGAAGATGACCATATTGATTATTTCGCTCGATTATTGCATCAATAGTTCGGATATGAGTTCCGGAGTTGTATAGATTTGCAAACATATGGTAAGGGCAATACAATACCAAACGATAAAAAACATATTAAAATATTACATAAAACAAGCCTTCCTGTGGGTCATTTATCAGAGAATACTATGCTTGGAGGGCACTGGGTTTGTAGTTACTATGACACAAACTCAATTTACATTTTTGATTCAGAAAATATAAGAAATATAGATAGTCATTTCCAGTTTGTATTAAATCAATTATATCCAAATTTTCCATATAAAAATAAACCAATCATTTTTCCAAATGTTCAACAGCAAAGAAATAAGTATGATTGTAGTGTTTTTGCCATTGCATTTGCTACCAGTTTAGCTTATGGAAAATCACCACAAAATTTACAAACAATTTCAGAGTTCCTATGTCATAATCCTCATAGAAGATCTTGAATGAATTTCGCTACGGCAGATCATGATATTATAAGGATTCTAAGAGAAAGTTTGAAACTAACAGACCTTCACATGACTTTTTTTGGCAATTCGATAAATACTCATACTACTTTTTTTCATCAAGACACCGTATTAGTTCAAAGACCTGAAAAGATTGATTCATGGAAAAAAAATATCCAAATATTATATAGTAAAGATAAACATTAGATATGTACAATTTACGACGCAAAAAATCTGTATATATATGATTCAACTAATAATAAAACATTAAATTCAAGCCAAAAAATTTACTTAGAACGTTTGTATCATGATTATTTTGAGAATAAAAAAACCATACATTTCCTAAAAGTGCAGCAACAGCCTAACGGACTTGATTGCGGAGTATTTGCAATTGCTTTTGCAACTTCGCTTGCATTTAATGAGAAACCAGAAAATTTAATCTATGATTATCCATTAATAAGAAAACATTTACTAGAAATTTTTAAATCACAAACCCTTCCATTAATTAGTGACAAGCATACGAAATTACAATTATCAACTTTAGATGTACTAAATAACAATGAAAAAAAGCACTTAGTATGCGATTGAACAGATTGAAATCTAAAAATAATGGTAATGTATCACAGATAAAAACTGAAAGGGTTAATAAAAATTCTGAAATATTCGCAGATTCGAAAAAGATCACACTTACTAATAATAAAATGGAAGAAGTAAATAAAAAAAAAAAGTTTTCTCATGTTAGTATTTCAAATGATAGTTACAAAACTTTGTAGTGATGTTCATGTAAATAATAGCATAAAGTCTTTAGTGATTGAGAAACATGATAAACTATCATTAAAATCTAATAAAAATGATCAGAATAAAAATAAAGTATCTCAAAAACCGAGATTGGTGGTTTTTTCAAAAAGTGGCAAGGTCGATCTGTTCTAGGGTCAGATTTTATTATCATTTTCTCATTATTGGCTGTAGTGAAAGAAGGTGGTGATGATACTGGGTTTTTCTGATATAAACGAGTTATCAATTGCCGTCAAAGTGGCATCCAAAACAATTTCTTCAAGACAATCTTCATCATTAGTTTCTGTTGATACAGATTGATCATTTTGAATAAAAGTTTCAGAATTAGCTGGATTAGTTTTACTTGTAAATTGTTGAAGATTTTTATCTGACGGAGGAACAACTTGATCTGCATGAGTAATCTTATTAAAGATTTTTTGTATTAAGCAAGGAGTTTTCAATATAACCTGTAATATATAGATACAAACATATTATTTGAATTATTCACAAATAATTAACAATTACAGTTTTTTTTAATCAATAGAAGAATCACCTTCTGCGATATTTGCCGATTTCCATCCTCCCAATTGTTTCAACATTGTAATACTAGCACCAGAATTTGATAGCAATGTCGCTGATGTCCTGCGTAAGCATTGTCCAGTGTAACGTTCTGGATTAGCCAATTTCAGGAACTCAGCGATAATTCTCGGAATTTGACCTATTTTATTTTTCCCTATCGGTTGTGGAGTACATTTGCCTTTTAAGAATTGCACAAAAAATCTCCCTGAATCAAAATCTTCAGGCCTCAATGAAATATAACTTTTTACTTGTTCATAAAAAGGTGGTCCGACTAAAAATTTACGAGGAAGACCATTTTTGGAATCATTTATGGAAACAAGGTAATTTCCAATCATATCTTCGACGTCAGAATCTCCAAGCTCTTTCAATTCCTCGCATCACGTAGCTCCACAAATGCCGAAAATCAAGACAACCTTAGAATATAAAAATAAAGATAACAATAAAGTAAATTAATTAAATAATCAATACAATTAAAATAAATATTTATGAGTACATACCTTATGGGCTAAAAGTGTGTAGTCCGGGGCATTATTTATGAAGCTGATTGCCTGGTCCCACGTTAAAACAGCAGATTTTTTCGACTTATGACCTTTTGCATTATTTCTAAGTCCTTTTAATTTGTAAAATTTACTGATGTTAATATTATTATTTGCATTCAGTGTTGATTTTAACATGGAATGGATACTCCACAATGTAGCTGAGCATAGTTTCGAGGATAAACTTTTAAAATAAACAATTAAATTATTTTCCTCCGACCTAGATAACGAATTCTTATTTTCTTGTTTCCAGTTCATATAATTATTATAAACCAACATATATTTGTCGGCAGATTTCTTTGGTAGAGTATCATTCTGCACAATTAATTGTGCTTTCGCATCAAAATTCTTAGTGACCTCTTCTTAATCACTCGACTCGTCGGACGATTCATGCATTTTTTTACTTCTTATACTTTACTTTACTTTCACTACACTTTATTTACAACTCTATGAGTGTAATTTATTAATTGAAATTAGCGTTTAATGAGTGTGAACAAAATGTGAGGTTATATCATTGCAAGTAAACGTCGAAGTTATGGATGCACGCGTCGCGGGTTCTAGTGGTAGTATTATAAAGGGGATATTTTTACGTATGTATTGTGTGTCGGTGTACGCGGCTAAATTTTTACTCCCGCTATGCTAGATGGCGCGCGAACAGCTTGACCAACGAATAAAAATTAGATTATCTTCTCTGAAACCAGGGATTAAAATACGTACTTTCGACCGAAGTAGTGAGAAAATAATATTTTTTCAACATTATGGTGATGATACATTAAGTTGATAAAATATATTGTTGAAGAATTCAATTACAGTAGCTACAATATTTGTAAAAATTACTATCTGGTGAAATGAATTTCAATAGAATCTTTCGTAAGTCTCGAGTTTATATTGATAAGATATTTCTAGTAAATTTCGCTTTATTCGACAATCATCTATATAAGTGAAGGAGTTTCTAGTAAAGTTTTCTAGAATTCTAGCAGTATTGCCATTGCTGTTTTCTCCTTGTAGGTATCACAATGTCCTTTTTGAAAATTGGAGTTTTTTATTATGGAAATAAACACAAAAAACGTCATTTTACTAAATACATTTTCTTTAGATTCTTTTAAAATTTTTACGGATTATTATTGTAGTGATTCTTCACCGATATGTGCAGACTAAAAAAAATAAAAAAAAAACCGATATGTTCAGTATAGTTCCAGAGGTATTTAATGTCCCAGTTTGCGTTTTGTGCAACTCTTATACATAACCTACTAACTGACTGTACGATACACTCTAGCTTAGAGTTTTTACTACTACAAAATTTTTTTATTGTTAGTAATTAAAAATTCTCAAAATAGTGCATTGTAGTTCTATACAATGTACAGAAAAGAATGTTTACAGAATAAATTGTTTACCCATGAAACAAACTTCGAAATCGAAAAGGGAGATTTCAACCGACTTTCCTTATACTATACGATAAACATGTATATATATATACATTAATATCAATCAACTTGTCGCAGTTTACGAAAACATGGAAATAATTTTAGGAGAACAACTGCACCTTCTGCAGCAGCATCAAGTCCAACAACTATAATTGCAGTAGGAGCAGCAGCTACAACGACTACAGCACCATTAACAACTTCAACAGGAAGAGCAGTGGTTCCAGCAACAGCGGATTGCGCGGCTGGAACAACAGCTACAACGTGGTGAGTGACCGGAACAGCCGAATCGCAACCGCAAGTTGTGATACATATATGTTAATTGATATAATTGTAAAAATTTCATGTAATTGAACACAATTATGTACAAAGGTTAAATGTATGTCCTTATAATATAACAAAAAGTTAGAGAATTTTTTACGTTATATAATATATTGTAATAAATCTTCTACAAAGAGACTTCATCGTGATGTTGAATGACATGAATAAATAGTTACTACTTAATTTGGCATTTTAGGGCTCAATGCAGCAGGCCGTAGCCGAGCAGTGCGGCGTGGTGGAGGGAGGGGACAGGTGACGAAACCTGTAATTAATAAATTGTACGAACACTATTTCCATTATCATTAAACATCTTGAGTTGTTATTTATCTTTAAACAATATATCATTCTCAATCCTTTTCCGTTTTCCTTGCAATCTTCTTTCCAGAAAATATGTTTATCAACGATAAGTAACTCGCAATATATGCCATTGCATATTCTACATCATAATTTGAACGGAATGAGTAACTCAGGCCAAAAGGCACTTATAATTCTACTTGACGAAAGTCATAAATAATTGGGTCAATTTTTTTACAAATACTAGACGTTCTTTCGTTCATGGTGGAACTGATCAATCTGTTTTATTCAGAAGAAAAAATCTGAATTGTACCTTGTCAAACTAGTTGAGTGAATTTTTTATTCGCTGAGCAGTTAGTCTTCGTTGATCGTTCAAGCTATTCATTGAAAAAGTACTTTCTCACAACAATTAATAATATTTGGTGTTGATTTTGTGCGTTTGGTATTATTACCTTCCAACTCAACTATCAGGAGTCTACATTTGGTAATCCTGGAACGAACATTTCATCCTAAAGAGTATTCATCGTCTGCAAAGATACAACCAAGGCATTTCAAATGAATATTGGCTGACTAACTGCCAAAGATTGCTCAAACTCAAGCAATTTTGAACAATCCACTTTTGGTAAGATAATCTGATTCATTTTTGCTTCTCTTAAAGCTCATGGTAGAAAGAAAGTTTTAATATAGACACCACAGTAGTTCAACGAGCAACTTAGGTAGTCACCCTCTAACTTTACCATGAGCTCACATTACATTCATGGTCTGAGGTTGACGTCTACTAGTAAAGTTCGCTACAAATGATTGCAAAAGCCAACAACGCTACTCAGGTAATCATCTTGTAAGATGAGAAGTCAACGTTTTGTTTTGTACTCAAGAAAAAAACCGTAACGTTTCAAAAAGTCACTCTAGTTCAGCAGCGACTCAGGTAATAGCTAAATCGATAAAACTATTCACGACTACAAGGAGAGCTGTTTGACTTACTACAATAATCCATCTAAAAATTCTATAGAAAAGAAAAGTTGCGTTCAAGTTCAAGCATAGCTCACTTTTTTATACAGCATGAGCGAATATCTCTGATTATCACAACGTAAACGAGAGAGTAAGAACACATATTTAATCAGAACGTATGTCGAAACGTTGGAAGTATAATATAACGTTGCAACATAGTCTAGTTTATTAATAATATGTGGAGCATTAAAACCCATATTCGACCATTCGAACATGAATGAGTTCGTTAGAATACATATTTGATTATCGAAACGTAAGACGAAACGTTAGAACACATAATATAACGTTGAAACATATTTTTGTTCATTAGACCATAAATCAGAGCGAACGAAATATTTGAACGAAGTATTGGACGATTAGAACATTAAAAAAATTTTGAGAATGCATTCTCTATTATAAGAACATAAACCGGAACATTAGAATACATATTCGACTATTCGAACATAAATAAGTTCGTAAACATATATTTAATCATTAAAACATAAGTTAGAACGTTTAATTGTATGATTTAACGTTAAAAAATCTTGACGGACATTAAAACATGAATAAGTTGTCATAAACACGTGTTCTATGGTCAAAATATATGTGTGAACTTTAGAACACATAATTTAGTATTGAACCATAAGTTGAATCGTTGATATACATATTAAAACATTCTTCTTGTCTTATTATAAGAACGTGATTCGTTCATTACAGAATAAATGAAAAGTTAAATCAATTCTTAGTAAAATAACAAATGACTAATTTAAAAATTTAATTTATTAAATTACAAATTAATTTTGTATTTTGTAATTCGGCAAAAAAATTTTAAATTACTCCTGTAATTTGTAATTTCACTAAAAATATTATCAATTACAAAAGTAATTTGTAATTTGATCTATAAAATTACAAATTACTCCGTTAATTTGTAATTGGATCTAAGAAATTACAAATTACTCCATTAATTTGTAGTTGGATCCATTAAATTACAAATTACATTATTAATTGATAATTTAAAAAAAAATGATCAATTCATCGTGTAGTTAATAATTTTATTTTCGATATTAATGATTATTCAGTCATTGATATTTTTTTCTAAATTATTCATTACAGAAGGAATTGATAATTTTGCCCCATAATACTACAAAAAAAAATATTAATGCCGAATCCTCGATTTATCCATTCTACGATTTTCGATGATCATTAGTTCTAGTCCATACTGCATACAATTATGACCACTTATTCGCGTAATTTATGTAGAAAATTACATAATAATTTAACGAAAATTAAAAAACATTTCTATTTGATTTTATTAAATATAATTAATCTTTATGTTTAAATACTTGGCTGCAATGATTTCATGCATTTTTGTAGTTGTTCGTAAAGAAGTTTTATAGAAATTGCACTTGATGAACGAAGATTATCGTCTTCATTATTCATACTTGGCGCGTATTTTTGTGAAGTCCGTTAGGGCTGTTTTTGGTGTGATTTCACGATTTTTTGCACAACAAACGGAATATGTATCATTCGACTCCGTTACTACGACATGGAATTTTAGAACAGACATCACTATCTGTGTATAGATAGTACAGTACCAGACATAAATTCTGTTCAATTTTTTAAGGGTTCTACAGGCGATTTTCCTATACCGTCATATAGAAAATCACACAGCATTTATGTCTAGTACTGTATAATAGTCTTCAGTCTGGTAGTATTTAACTATCAACTCAATGAAAAAAAAATTGTTATGTCTTACCGATCTTAAGATATAAACAA